TCGTTATTAAGTACACTCCATCTTGGGAGGTGCTTTAATGGGAGTTTAAGTCATACTTTTAGGGGCTCTCACACATACACACACTGCCAATTTCAATTGTCTGATAAATCATTTTTTAGCATCATTCTGGCATGGTGAACAGCCATAATTAATACAAATCATCCACCGCTGTTGCCATGGAAAATAAGTCGGTATAGGAACAGATCCGAGCGGCTGCTTCGTTTTTGCATTTGTTAACAAAAAGTGGCACAACATTTATTTTATTAACAGATTTAATCTGCTGATTACAAAATATGTTTGTATTTCTTTAGCATCCAACTGATGCTAGCTCTACTTTCAAATTTGTGACACAATATTCCTCGCAGATATAAACCTTGGTCGTATTAAATCATCCTAAATATTTATTTACACAAGCTTTTATATTTGACTTTTTTTATATCAAGGAACCAGATATTTCCTAACAGTAATTCATATTTTGGACCGCATTTTTAACCAGAATCTCTACATTTGAGGTGGTATCATTGTCAAATGTTAGGTTCATTGAAAAATTAAGTGGGATTTTTTTCAGGGGGCTCAAAAAAAACCTCCTACCTCTTCACATCTCTATGATTGGTTGAGTAATGTTGTCGTGGAGACGGTCATTGTGCAGGCCTCGTGGAATCCGGATGACATCACAGTGATTCCGGCTCTGTGTGTTCAGCGATCAGGCCTTCAGGCTGGAGCTTCAGCCATGAGAGACAGAGACAGGAAGACCAGTGCTGTGTCTCAATTCGGATACTTCCCTTTAGTTCACTGCATGTCGTGCACTGTGAACACTTAGTGCAGTGTGTGAATTTTGACTGTGTAGTGTGGTCTTAATTTGCAGGTGGCTGGTGCGTCCTCACCAGCACTTACAATAACTGCGGTAAACTAGCTTGCAACAAGCGTTAGCGGTACCAAATGATTACAGAAAGAAAGAAAGATTAGCAACACAAGAGTCTTTGGCAATTTTTTAGACCTGTTTGAACCATTGCTTTACAGTGCATAAAGAACAAAAATGTTCCTTCATTTGAGGGATTAGCGTAACGATATGACATGAAATGAGGGTATAGAGAAAGTAGGAGCAAATATCAACAAAGTTCTTTGTAGCACCCTAATCCGTGGTCCACCGGGGCACCTACTGAACATCTTCTATAACTGACTTCAACACTGTGCTTAAATAATTGCACAAAGGGCCCTTTCTTTTACTGACTGTGAAAAACAAAGCCCTTACAAGCAAAACATTACCATGAACTATTTTGATAACTCCTTCAATCTTCATTGCAAATAAAACTGCGAACAAAGTCTGAAGCTATGCAGCTGAGGGCTTGAGCACTTGATATGTTACCCAATGCTTGCTTAGGGTGTAGTATGCTAACATTTGCCATTTGGCACTAAACATTAAGTTCAGCTAAGGGTCACGAGAAATTAGTTTTGTAAGTGCAGAAGCTTTTGACAAGCTGAAGTTTTGACCTTATGATGAGACAAGATGAAGAGTCAGGAGATCAGCAATGTCAGAAGGATTCATCCTCTGTTAAACGTGGATTCATGTACAGAAGTTAATCACAAGTCATGCAATAGTTATCAAGATATTTCACTAAAATAAAAAAAATGTCTGCCTGCTGTCAATGGCGTGAGAGTCATCACTCTAGTAGTATTCTTCCTCTTGGGACCACGACTCTCAATGGCAAGGCCTTACATCTGGCAAAAGCTTATTAGAAAAACAAGGCTTTCTTCAACTTGGCTTTATCTTTGAGACAATAGGCAATTCCAGTTGCTTCATTAAAGGTGAAGATTACCCATGCAATTATAACATTTGCTTCCAGGAGAAATCTACATTTTAAAAAAGATTTTCCATAACTGGTAGTATTTTAAACAGAAAATAATCATGCTGGTCCGAATATAATTAGAATTCAATCGCATGTATGTCTCAGAGTTGAATTACATCAAGCAAGTGAAAAGTTACCGAAGGACAACAAATTAAAGCAGCATAAACTATGCTATTTATCAAATCTGTAATTATAATTAATCTCACATTGTTAGCAGGAAACCAAAAAGGAATTTGCACTCAGTTGCTGCCCAACCCAACAATGTCAGAGTCACTAAAGACTAACATCTCAGCGACTAAGTAATGAATCAGACTAAAGATCCTCTGATGGAATTATACAAGAGGAGCGAGGGAAGGAGAGGGAGAGGGAGGGAGGGAAATTGCCTCTGGTGTACATATCCTCACGTCTGATAATCCCGCCTCATGTGTCTGAGCGAGACTCTCTTGACATGGGCGTAATGGTAATTATGGTGATTTACGACTTGTTCCTCCAGTTGCTGCCATTATATCACATGGGCAGTATGTTTTTTCTACAAGGGAAGGCGCTGAGTGGATCATCACAATTCTCCCTAATAGAAAAAGGCCTTGCTTTGATTTGGACCAAATGTACGTTATTTGCCCACTCGGAGCAGTTTTGTGTCTGTTGGTGTTGCTTGTGCTTGAGCTTGCATGATAAAGGCGGTTTCTCAGGTTCAATCGTGTAACTTCAATGTTTGCCTAATGCTCACATGTGTATGTGTTGATGTATTATGTATATGTTTGCTTATTGAGTGTGTGTTTGCCTTCGCAGGGTGGAGCAAGGGGTCCAGGGGAGGAGGGTGGGGGTGCTTGGACCTCATCTCCCAGGACGTTCTCTGCGTTTTCGGAAACCTGAGCTTCAGCTTGTTAAGACAATGAGGAGAACACGTGAGGCTCTGGCACATGGAGGCTAGGGTTACCTGCTCGCCCTGCCCCGCACTGAACTGTTGGCCTCTGGAGCAAAACCTCCCCACCCTTATGACTCCTGCACTGCTTCACCTGCCTCCCTGCTCTCTGTCCTCCTTCGCTGGGTACCTCCCTTTCTGCTTTCGTGGATCTCGAATCATGTGTGTCAGACAGGTTTTTATTCTGCAACTCCTTATTTCAGTTCCTTGTACAGTTGTCCCCCCTACTCCTGCTCTTTCACAGTGTTGCAGGGCCTTATGAGTAATGACCTAATGAGTGAAACGCTCATCGGCAGAATTCCTCTGTTTTTGCGTGTTTGCTGTCTGTCTCTCCAGACAAAAGGCTGGCTGGGCCCCTGCCATCAGGTCTCCATCCATCCACAGTCCTCCCACCAGCAGGGAAAACCTGACTTTCAAGTCTTCCACCCACACCTATTGGACTGCTGTCCTCTCACCTGTGTAAATATGAAAGAGAGAGATGGAGAGAAGGTGGGTGGAGAAGAGTGAAATGGAAAAAGATATCCAAGCCTTTGGTTACTGGGTGGGGCACAGAAAATAATACCGCACAGCTGAGCAAACCTTCATACCCATAGGACTTCACCTGTACACCTTTCTCTCTCTGTTTTCCTTCTTAATCCATTCTCCCTTTCTATAACACAGCAATAGCAGGCTAAGGCTTTCTTTTATGGCTGCTGAATAGAGATTTCCTTTGAGGTTATGCAGTTGATACACTCTCTAACATCACTTTTGTGCCGTGGTCACAATGTAGATTGATTTACTGCCTTAGGGGACATTTACTCTCTTTAGAAGTTCCCGTGTAGGTGTAGGTATTATCTGGATATTATTCAGGAAATCCTTTTATCTCACAATATCCGCAGGAGAGGTTTGACTTAATTTTAGAAATGTAACCTTTAATCTTGATCACACTATACTAAACCTACCTGATGACTGAGGAGGCAGCTGGTGATGTGGATGGCAACACGTTTTTATAACTGAATCTCTGGAAACTTAAACTTAAAGGTCACCTATCATGCTATTTTTTAGGCAATAGCATAGGTCTCAGATATAGAAAAAACATGTCTATGAAGTGTTTTGCTCAAAATACCAAACAGATCACCCATTCTAGCCTCATATCCCTCTATTTCACTTCCTGTTTCAAAAGTAATGATTTTATGTATAAAGCTTTAAAAAAAAGAAAGAGGGGCGGAGCTTATGCCTGCTAGATCTACCGGCAGATACTGCGGTGATTAAACTCCATATCATGGATTATCAAAGATTATTTTTGAAACAGTATGGAGCTCAAAGGCTTTCTCTCTTGCCGGTTATACCACAAGGTGAGTTCCTTTTTATTTCCTACTTCTTCACACACATGCTCTCCAGTACAGGTTAGCTCTGAGTGTTAGCGATGCTAATGTAAACACCGACCATATTACGTCCAAAACAGTCGGGCATTGTTTCTGATAGCAACTTTCTGATAGTGCCGTGGGTCCACATTTCCGATATTACGTCATATCGGACGCAAATCGGGATCAGCTCCGTTGTTCCCCCGTTTTTAGAGATTTGGGTACGGAGGAAAAGAGAGAGGGTTTTCTTTTCTGACTTTGCGTGAGTTCCCCGGGGACACATATTTATGTATAAAAGACATAAAAAAGTGCATTTTGCATGATAGGTCCCCTTTAAATAAAAGCGTGGAGAGTTGGAAGAAAAAGCTACCTTAGATTTTTAAAAACATCACCACAGAAATAGATTTTGCACACATTCACGTAACACGTCACTGCTGAAATACAATGGGTTCATCAACAGCGATGCGCCTGGCTGAAACGTTTAAGCAAAACAAAGATACCCAACATGTTAGCTCGAAGCTTTTTGGTCATAGAAGTGTGAAAATATGAATCAAATGAAATGAAGTGAAAAATAAAACTACATAAAAAGTGGATACTAACCACACAACTTGATGCAAGCAACAATTAGAAGTGTACAGAGATATAGAACACACTATTAGGTGTGCAAATGGTAAAACTAAAAGGTAATGGATTATGAATGCATTGCTGTGCATTTATAACTTTAACTGTGTTTAAAAATGCACACTTCTAAGTTGACTGGCTCCATATGTGTGTTTTTAGTGATGGTGGGGTACAAGTGAAGCATATCCTATGAAGGCAGGGAGACTCACACTTATTTGCCCTCCCTCCCTCCCTCTCTGCCTTTCTCCCTGTCTCTATCCTCTGCAGGTTTAGGCCTGAAAGACGTGCCAGACCTGCTGCCAAAGCATCGGCCTCCACCTCACCCTGCAGACATGGCTCAACATTCACGCATACATACTCACACAAACAGAGTGTAAAAAAATCTCTTTGCATTCTTCACTACCGTACATTCACCACTATCTATGTACCTATGACCTTTTCCTGTACATACACACACATTCTTGCCATCTATATATTGTGTCTATCTCTGTCTGCGCTAACAGATTCCCCACACACTCTTGGCATGCCGTGTTTCAGATGTAGACACGTTTGAGCCACATTCACACGCTCTCCCTCAACACAAATATAAACACACGCATGCGTTCAGTTCGTCAGTTGTCTCTCAGGCATTTCCTATTTTTAAAACTGTAAGAAGCACACCTACACACATTCTCCCATGCTCGGACACACCCACTGCAACCCATGTCATGCTGCAAGACTGTCGTAGGACAACCTCGTAGGTTTGTAAGGCAGGGAAAATTAGTCAGGTGAAGTAAATATGGACACCTGACACTAGTGGTCTCTTTAAAGTTGTCTGCGCCACCGCCCCCATACTTAATGGTACAGCACCTACTGATTATTGCATGCTCTGAACGAGTCTGGTAATTGCGCGGTACATACCTGTCCTGGGTGTAAGCCCATATGCTGAACATGGGGCCCCTGTGGTAAATAGCTCACTGTATTGTCGGTACCGAGAGAGGGAGCCTCCTATCTGTCATTCAGTGTCACTCATTGTCTGTGATGCATGTGTGTACGACATTACATTACATTACATTACATGTTATTTGTTAGACGCTTTTATCCAAAGCGACTTACATTCAGTACTGTGGACAATCCCCACAGGAGCAATTTGGGGTGAAGTGTCTTGCCCAGGGACACAACGACATGCTGACTGCAGTGGGACTCGAACTTGCTATCCCCTGTTTCTAAGTCCAGCACACTACCCACTGAGCCACAGCCTCCCCTACGACAATTCTTAGAAAGGTGTGTATCTTCATATTTTCATCAGCTTAAGAAATTTGATCTCAAATAACCAGTATCTTATCTCACAAGTTCAAAATAGCACAGAGAATCACCCCTTCAAATATGAAGTCATGATGGTTTTCACAGTCATTTGGTATGATCTTAATCCTGAGGTTATTTTCATGACAGCTGAATGAGTCAGTCTGTGTGTATGTATCTGTGTGACGATGACAAATGTAAAGGATGTAGTCTGTTACCTCAAAGGCATTGATAACATCACATAGTAGGATTCTTTGCAGATACTTTTGGGTGGTTTGTGTTACCAATATCCATTTCCTTCATAAATCAGGGACAGTGCTTATCTTTGTGTGAAATAAGATTATATCAGTAGGTTTTGCTCCTTTTGATCATCACACAGTTGAGAAACTGCTTTAAAACACCCACTCTGACTTTATATGTGAGTGTGTAGTTACTGAATCTCTTGTCTGTGTATCATAGCTTTAGTTTTCTGATTTTATGTAACAATTATGAAATTATGAACTTATTAAATAAAGGCTCACAGAGAAATCAAACTATCTTATTTCAGAGTATTTACCAGCTCGTTGCTGGGTGACGCAAACTGGAATGAGGAGTGGGTGCAGAAGTTTGTCGCACAAGCTCTGTCTGAGAAAACACTGACTGCATAACTATTAATAACTATAATATATAATATATATAATAACTGACTAATTCAACCATATTAGTGTACATACCGTAGGCTACACTTACAGTAGAGGTCAACAACAGCAACCTACCAATGCTAAAGTGCTAAACACACAGGTTCTTTTAAATAGCTTGTTCTTGAGGATGTTTTATGTTTGACTATAATTATTGCTTTGAAATTTGCCCTTTTCTGTCTAATCTTTGATTTTTTTTTATTTCAGTGCTCCTAGATGACCTGTCCCATAAAAGGCCTAAGAGACATCAAATGGAAATGTATGTATCATCTCATATCTTTTATATTTATCTGCCCAAAAAACAAACATAAAATGCCTCGATTTTCTATTTATATTAATTTTATGGGAAGAAAAAGAAAAATACTCTTAATTAGTCGGCCTTTAGAAACAATTTTAAAGAGATGAATAAATGTATGTGATGTAGGACCTATTGTTTTATTTGCAAATGAACTCAGAAAGAAAGTCAAATCTATGTATGGAGTCGAGAGGTCAAAGGCTGACTGTATAGAGGAAATAATAGCACAGAAATAACTCATGTGAGCTTTTAATAGACGACTGAGAGGTTAGTGTCTATGACAGATTTACAAATTAAGATTAATTTAAAGCTGCCTTTTTTCTTTACATGAGTGTTATCCACTATCCCTCCCCCTTTTACAAATCCCCCAGTCGTTGTGAGGTCGTGTGTTGGTTAGGAGGTGGTTGTTGTTGTTATTGACATAGCCACAGGCCTGTGGCTCTTCCTGGGTGACAGTTACAGGAGTTTAAACCTGTAAATCTTCAGCAGACCTCCTTCCTCCCCTCTAATTCCTCATTACCTCACGGCAGGTAGTCTCAGGAGAGATTTAGAGGGCCTGCAGGGCTGCTTCAGCGGAGGAGAGTGTTTCACTGAGTGTGTAAAATCTCTGTGGTGAGTGTGTAGGACCGCAAGGAAGGACCGTGGGCAGTAGCTTTAAGCCAGACCACAGACCACAGGCAGGTAACACCATATGGAGTCTCCATCCTTGGTTGTGTGTTTAAGTGTGTGTGGTTTCATGCTTCAGGTGTAAAGATGCTGCTTTCTGACTAACCTTTCAAACAACAGCCTAAAAAAAGAATAAATAAAATCTTATAACATTTAATGTTATATCTTCTCAGTCAGTTCTGTATCAGCTCAGCATATCAGGGCAAGTGTCACATCTTATTCCCTCTGTTGGTTCTGCCTAAATGTTTACAGACCAATGAAAGGACTCTGGGTTTGCTCATCCTTTCAGCCTACATCAGTGTAACCTAACACCAAGCCTCTGCAAACCTGTCTATCTGTTTATCTACCTGGCTGTCTGAGTCCTTACCTGTGTCTTGAAACACACATATGAAATCAATGTTGGTTCCCAACACGGTTTAAACAAGAACTCTTCTGAGCTATAGCCTGCAGGGGAGCCTCATGTCAACTGTTGACTAGCTCCCACTAGTGGTGATCAGCAGTAATGTCAAGGCCAACCTGGGAGGTGAACTGCTTGTCCTTGTGAGGCATTTAATATCTAATAATAGAAAGGTATTTTGCTTTTATACATTCAAGTTGGACTAGTTTAGTATTTACATGAGCCTGCTGCACCCGTTTTTGGAAACAGAAGTCATGCCAAAAAACACATGTATTTTTGTGTCAATTATTCTCTTGTATAATGAGAAAAGGTTCTGACAAGCTGTTGTAATGACTTCTTCCCTTTCTTCACATGGCTATCCTCTTTGTGAACACATGTTGTCGTGCTGTTGAAGTGAATCATTCAGCGGTTTGTGTGATCCCCTGTATGGCATTGTGTCTCCAGCGACAGTGTTTACTGATAATTGAGTAATTACCTGTAAAAGATAGCACTCCTGTGGTTTTGTTCAGCTGTAATCTTCCCAGTCTATCTGATGCAGATCAGGTTTTAGCTTGGGAAGAAGCTCAATGCAACAGTTTAGTATTCTCTGTAAATGTGTGTGAGTGCTATACATATAACCAATTTTATGCCTCTAAACTAGCCTCTACGTGAAAATCACAGGAAGTGCTTAAAACTAATTTGCTGACAAGATGATGGTTGGACATTTGAAATTGCACAAAATCATAGGACGGTAATTTGACATTCCTTTGTGAGTTTCACAATCCCACAGTGAATAGAAAGTTGTAACAGGCACTTTGTGCGTACACTAGTGGCCTCACCCACAATGGCATTTGAAAGACAAACAGTAGTGCGTGCTGCTGGCCGGAGCTCCACAGCAGTGAAAGTGGTCGTTCTTTTTGAGTTACGGCAGCCAAAGTTCAGCATAATGTCCGTGTCATTACAGGGTAAAGAAACCTTTGTGAGTCGGCCCTGTCCCTCTCCTGATCTCCTTAGGCTATTCTCTTTCTCTTGAAGATGTTTAACTTGCTCCTTTCCTTCTTTTTCTTTATCTTTCATTCTGTATTTCTTCCCTTTTCTGCTCTCTTTCTCTCCTGTCAAAAGTGTTCTGCCCCTCGGCATTAGACGATATATTCACATTTTCAAATCAGTCTGATAACTTCCATTCTGTAATATGCTGAAATAATTCCTCCTGTTTAAAGATTCCTTCCTGATTTTTTTACAAGGGATAGTGGGGAAAATATCTATCTCTCAATTTGTAAAATCATGAGAGTTTCTTAAAAAGTTTTAACCCTTTTTTGGTTTCTCAAGAGAAAATGTACAAAAAATACTAAATATTAATTGTCTAACTAAGCCCGCGTAGGCCTCATATGAGCTTCAGATCAACTTTTCACATGCTTTAATGGAATAAGAGCTTCTTATCTTGTCCCAAATCAGTTTGGAAATCACATTGGAAACACATTACCATCTTTTCAGGGCCAATATAAACAGGAGTAATAATTACAGCAAACAAAACCTGTTTTAACGTTCATATAGGCACCTGACTTACCTTACAGGACATACTTGAAAAAATTGCGAGCCTATCCTTTAACAAAACATCTGCTCATCATATTTCTTCACCTTTGGCATGGGAAGCCAACTCGGTGGGACACCTTCATATCCTACTGTTCCCTCACACTAACGTAGCCTTCTTTATTTCTTCTCCTTTTTTTCTTCCACAAACTACCAGCTCCAAACTGGGCCTCAAACCAGAAACGAGTGGGACAGGCTGGAATATTTGGTTACGGGTGCATTTCCATTCGATTGTCCTAAAATGGGACGAGAAGAAGTAAGCGATATGACTTAAGAGGATCATATTAATGTAATGTGCGCACACACACACACACACACACACGCACACACACACACACAACACACACACACACACACACCACACACACACACACACACACACACACACACACACACACACACACACACACACACACACACACACACACACACACACACGTACACACACACACACACACACACACACACACACACACACACACACACACACACACACACACACACACACGTACACACACAATAATCCCACAGGACTTCCTTCCCCATTCCCCTTAGAAACCACACCCAGCAGAACAGGTAACAGGAGAACACCTTTCACAGGGTCAGATTGGAAGAGGTAGGAGAAACAGGCAACGTTTCTCCCTGATTAGTTTCACCTCTTCATATCTCAGTTTTTTCACATTTACCTCACCTCTTTTTATTTCTTCCTCTTTAAAATTATCTCTTGGTCTCTTACCAGCCAAGTATCTGATCCATTTTAATACTGGTATTAGCTGTTAATTTGAAGTGCCTCATGCATGCCATATACCCAAACTGATCGGCCAGTCTCTTTTTTTCTCCCCTCCAGCCTTTGCCTGAGAGTTGGCGCTCTCAAAGCGACAGTAATATGCACTGATGTAATGTGTGAGATAGGGATCTTTTGTGGGGTGTGTTATAAATTGTCACCGTAATGCGAGTGCACAGGGAGCCGGGTTGAGGGGGGGGAGGGACCAAGAGGAGGGGTGGGTGGATCAAGCAGTGTCACTGGAATCCACAGTGTTGTGAGAGCCCCATACCTTTCAGCTTCATTAAACCAATTTCACGCCGAGGTGAGCTAAGAGAGGAAGCTCTGAATCTCAGCAGCGGCAACAATGGTGCATTGAAGGGATGAGGCGAAAGTAAATTAGGTACCACTTCACAGACGGCAAATTAAAATCTGAAAGTTGGATAGGAAAAGTTGAGGGTAGATGATTATGTCTTTATTGTGCCCTCCCTCCTCAATCTAGAAAACCCTCCCTTCCTTTTAGCAACCACCTTTGCCCCCCCCCCCACATCCCCGCAACCCAATCCTCTAAGAAAAAATAATGATCTATTTCTTGTCTGGTAATTGGTTTCTAAGATGCTCTTACTCAAAGACCTGATCTCAAATACCAAACTGCTTATGGCCTTCTTTTCAGCCACTTAATTTGCTTGAGCTTATCAGTAAGATTTCATATCCAGGAAAATCATATAAATTAAACATTTATGTAGGGCTTATTTCTGTGCAATCATTGACCTCCCACGACCATTAAGCTGCTTTATCGGGTCTGGGACTCAGTGTTTGTCACTTAAACTGATGTGAAGGCTTCAACAAACCCTCTTAGACACCGTGCACTTGAATAGTACAAGTATTTTTGGAAATATGTTGCTAAAAGTTATTCCCTGTGTTTTTCCCTTGATAGTATCAATACAAAAATAAATAAATTATACTGCAAAATAAATGACGTAGCTCTGCAATAATAAGCGATCCCACAGAGTTACTCGACAAATGTGCTGTGATCATAAACTTGTATACTCGTATAAAACTCGTCGTAATATACACAAATGTTAAAAAGGGTATAAAAAAGATAAGGTTGCAAAAGTACTAATTTACCTGCTTAATTATTACTAAGAGTATCACAACTAAGGAAATACTTAAGTAAAATTAAACCAATATTTTCTAATTACCAAAATTACTAATGTCTCAATGACAAAAGAACACTATGGAAAGTGATAGGCCTATATTATTGAACAATTATGAGTTTGGCCTTAAGCAGTTTTTATGTTGACAAAAAAACAAATCTCCAGGTTCACTTGGAAATATATAAAGAGAAACTGAGTTTCTATAATCAGGAAATAAAAAAGGCATGACAGTCTTTATTCTCTGACATCATTAGCAAAAATAAAAACAACTCACGTGCCTTGTTTGCTACCGTCAACAGACTAACAAACCCCCCAGTGTCGATAGCCTCAGAATTTCTATCCCCAGGGCCTGCAATGATTTTGCCTCCTTCTTCACTGACAAAATCATGCAAATTAGACAGGCAGTCAGTGCCTCTGCATCAGGTACAGCAAATGTACACCTATGTTCACCTAAAGCCAATTCAGACACCATGTCACAATTCCGTCTGATAAATGCTAATGACCGGGAAGACATTATTCAACATCTGAAATCCTCCTCCTGTAGCCTCGACATCATCCCGACAGGATTTTTTTCAAAACTGTTTTTCATTGCTTGGCCTCAGATATACTACACATAGTAAACAAGTCTCTTCACTCAGGTGTATTTCCACAGGCCCTGAAAACTGCAATAATTAAACCGCTCCTGAAAAAGCATAACCTAGACAAAACCGTAATGAATAATTACAGGCCAATATCAAACCTTCCTTTTTTAAGCAAATTGATTGAAAAAGTTGTTTTTCAACAGTTGAGTAATTTCATGTTTTTAACTGACGGTTTTGATGTGTTTCAGTCTGGCTTTCGACCAAACCACAGCACTGAGACTGTACTTGTTAAGGTCTTAAATGACATCCATTTGAACACAGACAGTGGCAGAACATCAGTGTTAGTATTATTAGATCTCAGCGCTGCCTTTGACACTGTTGACCACAACATATTGCTAGACTGTCTTGAAAACTGGGTGGGAGTTTCAGCAACAGCTCTAAACTGATTTAGCTCCTACTTGGAGGACAGAACAAACTTTGTCTCAATAGGCAACTAGTACACATCAACTTTGACAAATATGTTATGCGGAGTTCCTCAAGGCTCCATCTTAGGACCTTTGCTTTTTAATATTTATATGCTACCTCTGGCTGAAATTATTAAAAAGAGCGATCTAAGCTATTACATTTATGCAGACGACACCCAGATTTATTTTAAAATTACACCGGGAGACTATTCTCCGATTAGAACACTGACCAGGTGCATTGAGCACATCACTGACTGGATGACTCAGAACTTTCTCCAATTGAACAAACAAAAAACTGAGATCATTGTTTTTGGAGCAAAGAAGGACCGATTAAAACTTAAAAGTAATCGCAGACCTTCAGTCGGCAGACTACAAAGTAATTCACAAAGCAAGAAATCTGGGTGTAGTGATGGACACAGACCTGAATTTTAACAGTCACATTACAACAGTCATTAAGTCTGCTTATTATCACCTGAAGAATATATCAAGGATTAAAAAACTAATGTCGCAACAGCATTTAGAAAAACTTGTCCATGCTTTTATCTTCAGTAGACTCGACTACTGCAATAGTGTCTTCACAGGGCTCACTAAGAAATCTATCAGAAAGCTGCAGCTGATTCAGAACGCTGCTGCTCGAGTCCTCACTGACACTAGAAAAATCACTCCGGTTCTGAGATCATTACACTGGCTTCCAGTCTGCCAAAGAATTGATTTTAAAATACTATTGCTAGTTTTTAAATCACTTAATGGCTTAGGACCGAGGTATATAGACGACCTACTCCATCACTATTGAAGCATCCAGGAGTCTCAGGTCTGCTCTCTGCTCCGAGAATAACCACTAAACATGGAAAAGCAGCTTTTAGTTATTATGCCCCAACAATTTGGAACAAACTGCCTAAATCGTGCTCGTCCGCCGAAACACTTCCTATTTTTAAATCCAGACTAAAAACGCACCTATTTGCCGCTGCTTTTAATTGAGCTGCCCATACTCACACTACAGTATGCCTTTTCAGTCATGTATTCTGTACCTGCTGTGTTTATTTATTTCATTACCTTTGCTTATTATGCCTGTTTTTAAATGCCTTTTTAATAATGTATTTGTTCTTAAATGTCGTTTGCTTTTAATCTGTAAAGCACTTTGAATCGCCACGTACTGAAAAGTGCTATATAAATAAAATTGCCTTGCCTTGCCTTGCCTTGCCTTACAACATTGCTAATTCTATCTAGCCTGGGCTATATGCCATTATTTTAACACACAACATTGCCTTCTATATATATGTTATTAAATAATCATACTGTTTGTCTTGTCTTAATCTGAAAAGTAACATGTCATTATATCAAGAGGTGGAGTCAAGTAGACATAAAAGTTTAGTATTTGAGTAAGAGCTATTAGTTACTTTCCACCACCTACAGTATTATTATCATACTATACTTTGTTGACTTGAATCTGATGTCTATCACCTGGGAGTAACTATTGAGCCTGCTTCAGTTGTCATTGTATATTTCTTACAGTTAAGTGTTGAGGGATAAATGAATAATGACAGAGAGGCGACAGTAAACTGTTGTTGTTTTGTTTTGGCACACTGTGAGGAGTGATCATCCTACAGCTCTGGGAACCCCCTCCGTATGTCTCCACGTATGTACACTCAC